AACTAAACATATGAAAGTGAATTTATACATTATTTTTGTTCTTGAGAATTTACAACAAAAATATTAAGCGTTATTTATTAAATTGGTTATTTACAAGAATAATTTTATATTTACAACATTCTAAAAACTAATACAATTAAAAATAAATGCAATATTTATTATTTACTAATCTATAAATAAATAAATATGAGAACATTTTTATTCATAAATTTATAAACATTTACCAAATTATTAAAATATGTGAAATCCTTATTTACCACTTTATAAAATTAGAATCAATTAGTAATTAGCCGATATTTTGTTAATAAACAGTGTAATAGCTTAGATAAACAGTCTAATAAATAAATAAGGTTTATTATTTTTGTTGTCAATTCTCAAGAACAAATAAAATAATAATTTAGTCTTTATTACAATTCTAATCATCGCTTTTTAAAATATTGCCGTGGGAGTGAATGCAGTTCAAATAATAGCGGTGTCAATGGAAAAACCGTTTTTTGTTTTTTGGTGGGCACGAAGGTCTAAATTTGCCATAAAAATTATTCATACCAACCTCAAATGAATTTTTCTACAAGAGATCTCTATTAGACTATCAGATTATTAGTGTTCAGTATAAACAATTATTTGCTTTTCGGCAATATCAGGGTAATTTATCCACTTACGATTAATTGTCTAAAATGTCTTAAATTGTCTATTAAGTTGAAAATATTGAACGGAGTTTTTTTTCTTTTTCAGCGAAACATTTTTGATTCATGAAATATTGTCTTTGTGGCTCATCAACTCCTGTAGTCAGGCAGTAATAATTAAAAAAGGAAATTAAAATGGAAAACGCATCGTTCTTCATCGCAACTTTAATCGGTGCATACGAAAAGGAAAATCCAGTGAGCTAAATTTTGCCCAAAGGCGAGTCGAAACCATGCAGTGACGCTCAAACTCTTGAGTCAATTCAAATGCTTCTTCTTCCTACTTACTAAAGATGTTTAAAAGAGAGCACAATTATGTATGCATGAGTCCTTCTTCGATTTTGTTTAATTTGGGTTTCGGCTTTCGGTTGCAAATCCTCAACGTTCTCTGCTTTCACTATGAAGACCGGAGGATGAACCTGGTGAGTGAGTTGAGAACTGAAATTTTTTTCTAGTCACGCACGATTGATCTGGCTGAGCAACTACTTGTTGCGTGTTGTTAGTGAACTTGAAAATCGAGGCCAAGTTACGATAAGTTAAGCAAATGAGACCACCATGTTTCACAAGTATGAGACAGATAAAACAGTATGTTCAATTTTCTACCTGCTCATTCAAAGAGAACACGTTAACAGTATTATCCCTCGACGTAAGTATTTACATGCAGAGTTTATTTACATGTCTTTTTTCCTTCATACGAGGAGCTGCTGATAAGTTCTCGGTTCAACCAACATGGGATTTAAAAAAGAAAATAACTGATATTTGGTCATTTAATCAGATTTTGGAATCCGTTCCCAAAACCTGATCAAATGACCAAATATATAGAGTTGGTGTTTCTGTTTGGCAAGAACAAATTCATGATTTAAATTCTCTGAGTTCTGTTTTTAACTAATATAAATAGGAAGAGGCTGGAATTAGTGGCGGTAACAGACGTAAAAATATTTTCTAAAAAAAATATTTTCTAAAAAAAATATTTTCTAAAAAATATTTTCTAAAAAAATATTTTCTAAAAAAAAATTCATTCATTTGTGAATAAGTCCTGAAAATTTCATTAAAATCTAAAAAGTTTTGGAAGAATTTCCAAAACGATATGCTTTTTACTGCCAAAAGACGCTAAATTTTCTAATACTAATCTTTGGTTCGCCTGCTGACGCAAGAAAAAACAAGATTTTTAAAAAAAAAAAATAATAAATTGATCAAAAAAATGCTTTGGTCTATAATCTAGGTGGATCCTAGTAATAACAAATATTAAAATTGATCCACAGAGAGATCAATATCATTATTATAACAGAGCAAATATATATTTTTACGGTAAAAACTGAAAATATTCTCAGCCTGAGAATAGTCTATTTCTGATCTGAACCCAGCCGTCTTCAGCTCTTAAGAGCTTTGTATCTAGAACAGGCAGATTTCGCTCTCCTCTATACCTGTTTTCAAATTTAATCAACCAAATAAATAGAACTAACACTAAACGAACTAAAACTTTTGGCGATGAGTATTTTCAGAATCGTCACTTGAGCTGAAATCTCATCTCCCTCTCGTTGCGTGCGTGTGGGTGTGTGTGTGTGTGTGAATAATCCGTTGTTTTCAACATCGTCTCAACTCCAAAAGGAAATAAAAGTATTATTGTATGCCAACACGAGCTCAGCGTTCGTTATTTCATTCGGGTGCAAGTCATATTCTCACTGTTTTTGAATATAAACGTTAACTCCTCGATTATGATTGTTTTCAACCGACTACCACCCTTAAAGATTACGCTCCCTACACAACATTGTACAGTCGGGATCAGCTTTCGCTTTTTTGTCGTCAATACATGACATGACCTGCCTGTTCGTGAAATCCACACTTATTAAGATTTTATCGGCAAATTTGAGACACCCTAGCGTTAACGTACACGCACGAACACACTGATCATGCTCATGTGCAGCCTTCTTGATTACTTGTACTTTATCTTTATGACTAGTGACTTCTAAATGGTACTTCTTTACACACTTTGACTGTCTAGAAGTTTATAGTGTAGTACTTTATATGTAGCCCCTTCCAGCTTTTGAAATTTCCAGGAGGAATTTTTTTTAAAGTAAAGAGGCAAAAAAGTTGGGATATACACCAGAGGTACGGGAAAACTGCGGAGATAAGAACAGGACTGCTGACAAGGTAATCATCAAAAAGGGTTTTGTCGTTGTCGACCAACAATGGTTCTATTATTGACACCACTGTTACTAGACCCTCCAGAGAACATTGCTATAGAATAGTGGAAAACCAGCGCCGTGTCAGACAGACGAGACATGTTTCCTGCTCTTTTGCGCAGACAGTCGAGTCCGTTTGGGAAGAAGACTACAGAAAGCGATGGAAACAAATTGCCAGCAGAGTACTGCTCAAGTTGATGGCAGCTCCGTGGGTGTATTCTGCTGAAGTTCGAAATAAATACTAGTGAAACCGGAATGCACCGTAACAAGTAATCCATATACAGATCTTGTGCAAACCATTTGAGTTCCTTTAGACACTACAATGACACCATTGTCCGTGAGTGACACAAATCTGGTTCCTAGAACAGTCTTTTTTATAATTTCACCACAAGCAAAGCAATAAAGCTACTAAGACGTTAAATCGTTACTGAGTGTAAAAGAATATAAGAAAAACATTATTAAGCAGAGAGAAAAATATTAGAATGGAAATTAAGAAAACAAAAGATAATGATTGACATTGCATTTAACCAACCTTACTGGAAAGGAAGAGACCAGAAGAGATTTCCACAAGCAAGTGACACAAGAGAAGAGATTGTTAGCATAGAAGTTACGATTACATCTAGTCATCTCAACTGTAAAATGATGAGACCTAGCTGACAATCTAGTACTGCGCTTATATTCATAAAGTCTAGGTACCAAAAAGGAAAGCCCATCAGAATGATTACCATAAAAATATTTATAGAAAAGGAACAGGGAAGCTACATTGCGGAAAAGTGTGTGAAACCAAGATGCCAGGTCAGGGCCGATAACATTACATATTATTCACTGGATTTTATCAAGACTTTCTAAATACATAACAGAAGTGACAGCAATATTCAATGCAAAGATGAGTGGTAGACTTGTAAGATAGATTATGGTGAGAAAATATGTCTGGCACGACAACGTTCTTAGCAGCAGACCTATTCAATATAATCTTTCCACGTCATGTCAGCGGAAACCGTTAACCCGAGAAGGTGCAATGAGTCTCTCCTGGAGGTTAGCATCAGCCATGCCGCTGAAACATACAGAAGCTTCTCTAAGCTGATTAAAAGAGAGAAGTTACGTTTTGGAGGCGTTAAAATTAAGCATGGCATCTTTTACTCTAGTTAACAAAAGATTGTAGGTTATTTTTTAAAGATCAGCTGAACATATGAGCACAAAATATAACGTGCCCAATCAACAGCATTTAAATACTGACTAACCATACAGGAAAGTTCAAAGCGGCAATGCCCTCCTGGATTGCTCGCACTGAGTGATAAAAATTTCGCCTCATTTCTATTTCAGTTTCTTCAATGCATTAATCATTCTTTAAAAGGAATCTTGTGAATTATGCGGACATTATTTTGGTCGTCTTGGCATTACTCAAAGAGAGGGATATACTAAAGTTTTTTTATAGCCTATTTAAAGAGTTTGATTCTTATCATTGGATGAGTTGAAAAGTTCACGGTTCGATCAAGAAAGAGGTCTCCTTAAAATCCTTTCATGAAATTTTGGGAATTGGGTCCCACTGAAACATTTTCAATGGCCCTTTTACTTTGTTTTTCATTGTACGAAATTCACTTGTACATTTTCTTCTTTAATGTCATGTCATTTCAGGATGTAGATGATTATGAATATTCATAGATTTTTCATGAATATCCGTGAACTTCTATGCAGTCTTGGGAAAGATAGTGGGGTTGTTCCCAATTACCATCACACAGTTTAGAATTCAGAATTTGGTCTACCCTGCTACTTATCCTAAAGCTGCGGAAGAGAAGACCGACGATTCATGCCTTTTTCCAAACGCGTTTTTACATAAGCAAATTTAATAGATTAGCACGGAATTTCAACTCGGATCTCCGATTTCACGTTCAACGTCGATGTTGGTTACACTGCCTGCACATCCACGTAGCATTCTAGAAACAGTTAAAAATAAATTCACACATTTCATTGGTTTGTAATGTTTTTATAACTGGAATCATGTTTTATCTTTCATCTGGTTATGTTTTTCTGAGAGAAAATGTTTTCATCTAATTATATGCAGAGTAACCAAACTGCATATATTTTTTTCAAATTGAATTCATTATATTTTCAATTAACTTTAAACCAGTTTGTTTTCATGAAACCTGTTTCTCTCTCTCTCTCTCTCTCTCTCTCTCTCTCTCTCTCACTAATTCTTTTAGATTCTTCCCTTCTGTTAACAAACTTTGAGAAGAAACCAACACACGTTTTTTTTTAAATACTAATCGCTTAATTTTAACATTTAAATCTACATTTTCTTTATTCGGAGATATATAGAGATTCGTATTTGTTTTAAATTTACTGGAATATAAGTTCTAGCGGTTGACTGTGTCTTAAGGCATGTTATTTTTCTAAGTAATTATTCGGCTTTATACAATCATACATGAACTAGTTAAATTATGTATGTATAGCTGTAATTCTAAGCTTGAAGCAAATAACATGGATAGAACATAAATATAAAAAAACTAGGAAATACTTTTATAGAAATCATTTTATACAAATCATTTTAAATGGCCGACAGGTGCTCATTGTCTACTTTCTCAGAAATGAAATAGCCACAACTAAAATGGTTGCAAAGGGTTGTGTTGGAAACTCCTGTTTATGATGGAGAAATCTGCCCATCGAACAGTTGTGCAACGTCGTTCTTGTAAACACCAAGACAGGGTAACTAATCTCATACAAGAGATTTCAGTAATACCCACTTTAAAAGCTGGCTAATACACCAAAGTTACACAACCGGTTCTCAAGATATTTAAAATGACTAGATATTTTCCGAACAGACATCATACACACACTGAAACCCAACCACAATCGAAGTAACGAAAATAAAAAGGCGGAACTCAAAAGCCATATACAAAAAAATATCTTCCGTAAACAATTTTTATAACCGGTATCAATCATCTGAGAGATGAAAATTTCGTCTCATTTTCTTTTCAGTTTCTTCCATGCATTAATCATCCTTCAAACGGAATCTTATGAATTACTTTTGACCGGTTTGAGATTACACAATCAGAAGAAAATGGTAATGACTTTTATAGAGTATTTAACGAGTCAGAAACAAAGCGGCAGGGCCAGATGGAATTTTAATAGAGATGCTAGCAGCCTTAGATGATTTCGGCATTGATAAGATTATACACCTATTAATAAAATATATAAGAATGATGATAAAGCGGAAGACCTAAGTATATTTATTTTCATGGCACTGCTTAAGAAGCCAGGTGGAAACGAAAGTGAATTGCATCGGATAGTCAGCGTAATGAGCCATATAACAAAACTTATCATCCGAATTCTGATGAATAGACCGCGCAGTAGAATCAGATCAGAAATAGAACAAGAACAATGCAGGTTTTTCAAAGACACTGGAACAAGTAACGCGATAATTATGCTCATAAATGTTATCAGAAAGGGTAATACCGATGCAGAATGACGTGAGCCTGTGTTTTATAGATTACGCAACGGCGTTCGATAAAGTGCGCCACAAAGATCTGTTGGAATTGCTCAGCAAACTTCACCTATTTGGGAATGATCAAGAACCTATACTGGCAGCAAACCGTTCGCATACCAATATAAAATGAGTTCAGAAGATACGCAAAAATAGAAAGAGGTGTAAGATAAGGAAGTGTCTTCTCACTCTACTTATTCAACCTATACAGCAAGGCGTTTCTGAGAGAATTAGAAGTCATACCATAATTGATGGCGACAACCTTAACATAAGATATGCAGATGACACAGTGTTGATTGCAGACACGGAAAGAAAACTACAAAAATTTCTACAGAATGTAGTGAAGGAAAACGAGAAGAAAGGAATAAACATCAAAATGCAAATTACAAATCGGAGATACCAAAATCAAACAAGTGCAAATTTTAAATATATCTGGGAAGTGTTTTAACAGAGGACGGAAAATGCGATACTGAAAACCAAATGTGCATTCGGATAGCCAAAAATGCACCCTCAAAACTAAGCAGAGTATTGGGAAACAGAAAAATTTCGTTAGAAACAAAGAAAAGAGTACTTACTGAACTGTTACGTGATATCTGTCCTCCTGTATGGTAGAGAATGCTGGACAATCACCCCAAAGATGAAGAAGGGACCTGAAGAAATAGAAATGTGGTTCTACAGAAGGATGCTGATGATAACAGGGACCGAACATAGAGCAGTTTTAGAGAAAATAAAAATAAAAAGGTAACTTATGCTTAACATCAGGAAGAAATAGTTGAAATTTCTAGGGCACAATGAGAAAAGTGTGCTTTGAAAATCTAATATTCATGAGACAGATAGAGGGCAAGAGAGAGAGAGGGGGGGAACAACGCATAATATACTTAGTGAGCTTGAGTAAATGGATGGCGGAACAAGGTTTAGGAGAAACAACAAAAAGACAAAATTTATTAAGAGCTACAAAGAACAGGAATTTGCGGAGAGCTATGATCGCCTACATCCTGAGAGGACACGTGTAATAGTAATTTACCCACGCACGCATGGACTCTCCCAGCTATAAATAGGAGCAGGTATTGCCTTTTGGAAAGGGATATTTCCAGCAGTCAGCTCTGACAGTCGGACCGAACATTCTTGCTGTAACACTCTCGTTTGTATATGATTGTATTACTGTTTCTTTTAATATATTTGTTTGACTCGATTCCTTTCGTTGTGTCTTTATTTCTGACCATAACAAGGTCACAACAACACGGCACATAAAAAAGAAAAATTCTCATCAGGAAATTGTTTGAAAAGTTCAGTGTCCGATCAAGAAATACTGTACACTTCAACGAATTTTATAAATTGGGTTAGGATTAAAGAGGGTGCTGAGGAAAGTAATAGAAAGAGGAAACATGCTATCGGATATTTCCAGAAACAAAGAAATGGAATTGATTACTAAATGGTTAAAAAGAGAATAACTGAAGGAATAAATGGAATCCCTGAAATATATAAACTAAAGTAAAATCAAGATAGATTATAAATGTTACATCTATATGAGATCGGGATGAAACCATCGATCATAGGGGAGTGAAGTCAGTCAGCTCAAAGGAGTACAACATGATTCAATAAGAAAGGTGACCCATTGGGAATAGTGCAAGCGGCTGGTTTTTAAACAGGCGAAACTGTTGCATATGCACAATCCAGAAAATGTTTTCTATCTATCCATCTATCTATAACCGAATGGGTAAACATAGGTAGATGTACGAGCGAACGAGCGAGCGAAAGTATACAAATACATATAAATACTCTATAGTGTAAGAAAAAATAGTGCTTAATGTTAAATAACAGAGCTATTTAATATATTTAAGGAATATACAATATACGTTACAATATATTTTGTATATTCCTCCTCTCTCTCTCTCTCTCTATATATATATATATATATATATATATATATATATATATATATATACAGAGAGAGAGAGAGAGAGAGAGAGTGAGAGAAAATATTTTGAGGATTTGAAATTCAAACAAATTTCCCAAAAGATTAGATTCAGTCATCGTAAAGAAAGAAAGATCCTCGGGAAATTATTGGGAACTTATAGGGAAATCAAACAGGTTGGAAGAAATAGAAATCAAAGCAGATTTACTAAAATCAGGTTAAATATGAAGGAGAGAGAGTAAGAAAAAGATTGGGGAGAACTTGCTGTCACGTGATCTCCAGTGAAAACCACCAGTTAAGATTGCGATATAAAACCCCTGTAATAATAATAAAACCTTATTCATGGATACAATACATTCAATACATTAGCAGAAACTTGAACAACTCTATATTGACAAGATTAGTCATAGAACATTTTACCAGATAGCCCAAAATTCACGCGTGAACCACCCATAAATATGTGCATCTTTTAAATCATTCGATCTCTCTCCACCCTCACTTTTTTTGACCTCGCCTTGGTTGCATTCGTCCATTTCTTTCTTTCATTCTCTTGATACTTGACTCTGGCCGTTTGGAATTTCTTTGTCAACCTTTTCTTCTTATATATGCTTTTTTTTTCCTTTTCTACTTCATTTTATACTCTTCTCTCTTTCTTTCTCTTCAAAACTTCCTTCTCCCGTTTTTATTTACTTTTTTATCGGTTTTTAATTTTAAAAAGTTAATATAAAGTCACTTTATTTATCTATTTAGGCTTCATTTCTTACCTTTGTGCTTTTATTTTTCCTCTTTTCCTTTTGTCTCTCCTTGTTTTCAGTTCCTTTATTTCATTTTTCATTCTAACATGAATTATATAATGAATAGGCTAGAATAATACTAACTTGAAAATGTTATCCTTTTTTTTCTCTCGGCAAGTCTAAGGACGATTGCCTGACGTATTCTTTTCAAAATTAAAATAACTCATGTATCAATCCCATAAAAATATAAAATACTAACATATATGTTCTAAAACTAAAAGTAAGTTTAAAACTAAAAGGCAAATGAGTCTTTTTTTCATAATTATTTTTACCGTCTTGTTCCTCAATATTTTCCCTTCACAAACTTTCAACGACGGACATTAGTCAGATTTCAATATTCTAAGGCCGAAAATACGACGATAAGGGACACATTCCTCTACCTTTTCTTGTATTCTTCCTCCTTCCGTTATTTCTTTCTTTCCTTCCTTTCTTTTCTAACTTCCTCGATTGCAACTTTCGTTTAACTTGCTGTCCCCTACCATAATTTTTTCTCTCATCGCTTGGCTATTTTTTAAACTTCCCAATCTTCTTAGGTCTTCCTTTTTTTAAAAATTCTCTTCTGTTTTCATTATTCATCAGTCTGTTACGTTTTTTTTTATCTTTCATTTTGTTTCTTCGTTTTTGCATTTTTTTTTTTTTGGCATATTCGCTCTTTTCTTCCTTCCTGTTTTCTTTTAAGAACTATTCATTAAGCTTTTCTTTCACTTAGCTCTGTTTTTCTACTTTGTTTTCACTCGTAATTTCTTTCTTTCTCTTCATGATTTTTTTCCTTCCTTGTTATCGTTTTTGTTTTCTTTTTTCTTCTAAATTTCTTTTTTTCCCTCAGTTTTTTTCTTTAATTCATCTTTAACTTAAATTTGTCTTGTCTTTTCATGTGTTTCAAGAATATAGAGACGTTCATGAAAATAATTTCAGAAGGTGGAAATTGTTTTTCTTTTGTTAACCCCAAATATATCTTAGATCTGAAATGAAAATATAAATTTAATCTTAGTTTTTATTGAATTGTAAGTTCTTCTATAAAGGGTAAGTTATAAAAGTTATACACTTTTATAATTTGGATTTTCTTAGATGTGATATGCGTAATATTAATTGACGTGTTCTTCTGAATTTCACTTACTTTTTCAGTGCATAAATTGATCGTTTTCTACTTTTATCCCAAGGTCCAATAATCTTTTATAAAAAGCAAAAAATAAACCCACTAAAACCCCAATATAATTAGGTTGTTAAGGAACACCTCATAAAAAACAATAGACAATTTATTCTAATACTGAAGCGTTTACATAGAATCCTACATCAAATATTGTGAAAGATTCTTTCAAGTAAACAGATAATATTCTTTTCTCACCTGTTTTTCAATCTCTTCCTAAAATGTACATAACATTACAGATCATTTTAGAATGAGTTAGAGAACAATTAATGGACTTGTTCTTTTTTGTTACTGCCATTGTTTGCATAAGGAATAATGACGTCCTTTACTAGAGCAATTTTGGAATCTTTTTTTAAATCACCAAAGATATGACAGGTGATCATAATTAAAGTGTATAAAACAACTTGTTGACAGGAAAACCAAGTTTACACACACATATGACCCACTTAAAACTAAAATTGTTACATTTACATACCAGTTCCTTTATTTGACCCTTTCTATACTTGGTGCAAGAAATAATTCTTCTTGAAATCAAATATATAACTCTTTAAAATAGAAAAATGATTGCTTTTGTAAATAGTTAACAAACAAACAGTTTAGTCATATGACCACGCATGCGTGTTACGAAGTTTTAAACGCTTTATTGAAAAAAAAAGAAAAAAAGCGCAAATGAATAACTTCCGTGGTTATGGATATGCTTTTTTTTCTAATTACTAAATGTTTAAAATAAAATATACATTTCACTAGATGTATGAAAGACCTAGAACATTAAAAAAGTATTTTAAAGTACTATAATTCAATAATCTTTATTTAAAGTATGTATTACGGAAGTAAAGTAGAAAATTTACCTTTGTTATATCAATAAACATTTTTCTCGCTTGCTCTCGTTCTGATGATCTTATTCATAAGGTTAACGAAAATAAAATGCGTGATTAGATGTTAAAAAATGAGTCTACATATTAATATCCTCAAATTCATGACATTATTTTATTTGTATTGTCTTTTTGTTTTTTGATTGTTTTTTGGGGTTTTTTTTTTGCCAAAGTCAGTGCTATTTTTCCTGGAGTAATAATCAATTGTTTATTTGTGTAATAGTTATTCTCTGAGATTAACTCAGTCAAAGTGGTCTGTTTTGTGACTTGCTTCTGATTCTTACACTACACTTCTTTGATTGTTCACTGAAAAAATCTTTCAAATAAGTCTGTTTATGTGGTCATTCTTGAAAATGCATGCCAACTGACAAATTTTATGAAGGCTTAAAACTTTTTTACGTGGAAATAGGGCTAAGCATTCTATTTTTTATATTTATTTATCAAATTGCACGGAACACTGGAAAGATTATCGCACTGACACTACCAATTAAATAATCACTTTTTTTATTTCGATATTTCTTTCTTTCTTTTTCAGAATTTCTTTCAGACGTACTTTGGTTGGATGTTTTCTCTGGAAGAAATAGTTCCTGTTCTTTTTACCATTTTATCTGTAAAAATTATAATAAATTACAAGAGTTGGGTTTTCTTGATTTTATTTTTGTCAGTAATTGCTTAGGGTTCATTGTGTTATGTCTCCTATATTACTATTTATTTATAAGATTTTTTCAGAAAATATCATTTTAGAACGCAGGTTTCCCTCTATGTCTCCATTTGCTATACTTTAGTTTTCATTATAAATTACTTTAATAAAAGTAAATTAAATGAAGATAAAAACCATAACAAAATAGAAATGAATGGCTTTTACCTGTTGTCAGTTATAGGAAGACAGTTTTTGAACGAATTCAATTTTTCAAGTATTAAAAGTGTAAGAAGAATGTGTCAGAATTGAGAGAAAAGAAAACATGTGACCGATTGACTCACTGGCAATAATCCAACATTTTTCCAAACATAAAACATTTATACTTATTATTATCACCTATTTGAGATTTTGTAATTGATTTAAATTCAGTTGTTTCGTATTACGACAAGTGTTTCTAACAATTGTTACTACAACTACTACTACTGACTACTTATCAAATGTACCCACGACCAGTCAGTTTTCTCTACCGGCCGATTTGGCGAGATTTACCGACTGAGCAATGCTGACGATCGCAAAAGTCCAAAACTTAGATTTGTTAATTAGTTAATTTATCTTTTTGAAACGCATCTTTCTTTCTCTCTCTCTCTCAGATTTGATTTCCACATTTTCACGCTTCTTAGTAATCCCAAGCACTCCTAGTAAAGCTATTACAAGTAGTGCTAAGTACTTTATCACTCGGCCGAATGGTGTTATTGCTACTACTACCACGACTACTTCAAGAACAAAAG